ATTTTTTACCAAGAAACTGCTTGAAGTGTGAAGCCAGGGAAAACACAAAAACGATTCTCTCGAAAATTTGCTCATAGATGTAATGTAGTCTAAAGTGGGCATGCTCCTAATCTGTACTATCCTTCCTTTCTTTGAGCATCATAGAACTTTCTTGAAATGCTTTCAAACTGAGGGCTTAGCCGCGGACAGGAAGGGGGTGAATGTGTTTTTATAAACGAGTAGTCTGGAAGGTGTTGAAAATGGAGATGCTAACACTTGCGGAGATTTCTGATAGAGATTATCCATCGGAAGCGAATACATCCGAAAGGAGAGAAATATTGAAGAAATTCAGAGAGATTGCTGGAGATTTGCTGCGGGAGTTGCCTGATCCGCAGATCACCAGTATTCTCGCAGTAGCGTCTCACCTTGAGGATATAGAATTACGGCAGGCACTGAACATGCATTTCCCAAAGTTTACTTGCCATTTTGGGTGTTTGTCAAGAGGCCGATCTTTATTGCCACATGAACATCAGATAGCCACTTCAGAGCCATTTCAGTGTTCAAGATGTTTTAAAAGCCTTTCAAATTCCCAAAAAGGCGTAGAGGGGGTTTGCATAAGCTATTCAACCTTACTATCTTAAAATAGATCTAAAACAAAAATGTTGGGACCATGTATGCAGCTCAAAGGCAGCGTTCCTGCAAAATGATGGGTACTTGGACTTTACAGCATTGCAACGGCAGATCCCCACCTAATCTATCAGTAAAGTGTGAAGCAAAAAAGCATATCTAGAAAACCTGTAATCCACTCCAAAAGCTTTCCGAGTCCCGCCCCTTCGTCCGGACCGCCCACGACGCAACTCGAAAAAAGCCCATTTTGGCCATTTTCAGGCGCACCAGAAATGGGTAAGGCATGCGAGAAAGCTTCGAAAAGGTGAAGAATAGGAAATCAAATTTTTTCCGGGACATTGCTTTCAAAGGCAGCGACTCGGCGGAATGACATACTTCGGTTTATTCCATTCTCGGTTCTTCTGGATGAGCTAAGTCTTTAAAGCTGCAAAGCATAAACTGTGCTTTGCAGCTTCAAAAGGTATCCATAACCCGCTTTTCCAGACGTGAAAAGTGCTATTTGGGCGGACGGCGTATATATGCCCTCTAAAGCGCGATTGGCTCGTCTGTGGAGACACCGTAAACATCTCGGCGGCAATTGGATTATTGGCTCGACCAGCTACTTCGTGGCCCGCCCAAATAGCACTTTTCAGGTTTGGAAAAAACGGGTTATTGATAATCTGCCGAAGCTGCAAAGCACAGCCTTGGACTTAGCTCATCTAGGGGAGCCGAGAACGATAAATATCCCAAAGTTATCATTCTGCCGAGCCGCTGCCTTTAAGATAATCTCGTGGATATTCAAATCAATCAAGTTTGCGCACACATTGACTAATAACGTTGTAGGATGATTCTTCTTTAGCGAAAACAAATATGCATGTTTTGAAGCGTTAACTATATTCATGGAGGCAAAAAAGTAAAAAAAAACATAGATTGACTATATTGAAAGGGTTGGTGCTTCATCCATAGAACAACTCAGGCTGGAATGAGGGAAAAAAGAACTTGCTTTGAAATTTCAGATCCACAAAGGCGTATTATTTAATATCAAAACGTATTTTGAAAACTAGCCAAATTTGTTCAAACAGATGTTCATTCATTAAAAGTTTCAGGATGTTTGGGTTAATTGCTACGCTTTCGTTTGTTGTGGTCGGAGCTCAGTCCCAAGACTCCTTTTCCCATGACTTCGCTCTCAAGAGAATGCTCCCTCTGGCTGCTGCAGCTTATTCAGACAATCCGGGTGAATGCGTCGGTCGCCTTGATGGAAACGTGAGGCATGATTTTTCTTATGACAAAATTAGGGGATAACGCAAGTATGCACATATTAGGCTGGCCGAAAGTTCTTCCCCCATTTTCAAAAATTCATAACTTCCGATTTTTTCAACCAATTTGGCTGCGTTTATTTTTGTATAAAAAAGTAACTCATGCTCTTCATAATGACATTTTAGCTGCTTGATAAAGATCATCTGTTGCATAGATAGGAGCGATAGAAATAAATTAGTCAAAACTTGAATTTTCTGTGTAGGCTCATAAAAAATCGGAAACTTGCAAGAAAGATCGGAGCAGTCAGTAGTGTAGGCCATTTTACCAGCTCTTTCTAATGGTGCAAAGTTTGCATTGATTGAGCGTCTCTATGAAAAGTTATGATTTTCGAGCAAGCAATACAAAAGGGCGAATTTGATTATTTTGGCATTTTTCAGGGAAATCATAACTTTTGATAGAAACGCTCAATCAATGCAAACTTTGCACCATTAAAAAAAGCTGGTAAAAGAACCTGCAATACTGACTGCTCCAATTTTTCTTGCAAGTTTCCGATTTTCTATGACCCTACACAGAAAATTCAAATTTTGACTGATTTTCCTCTATCGCTCCTATCTATGCAACAGATGACCATTAGCAAGCAACTAAAATGTCATTATGAAGAGCATGAGTTACTCTTTCATACAAAAATAGATGCAGCCAAATTGGTTGAAAAAATCAGAAGTTATGAATTTTTGAAAGTGGGGGGAAAGAACTTTCGGTTCAACCTAATATTTGCGTTTGTCACTTCAGATAGGAGTACTTTTCCTTTCGAAAAATGTTGTGTATCTTTGACTTATCTTTGCCTTTCCTTGAAAGTAAGCATGTTTTTAGCTCTTAAAGATTGTCCCCATTTCATTTTAGAGACACAAGAAAATATGCGTAACGTATCCACAGCTGCGTAGACACATTTGGATATCATTCACATGAGTGCCATCAAAAATGGAACATGGCAGATGAGCGAAAGTGAAAATAACTCAAGAATGACTGCTAACATAGTCATGGCTAAACTAGGTTGTTCCCAAAGTTCTGCCTAATGTGCGGATTCTCCGATTTAAAATGCTATAACTTTTCCCAGTCAATATTTTTGATCAAATTAAATTTTGTTGGGTTAACCGAGTTTATGGCTATCATAAATATAATTTGCTATGTGAAAAAGGCAATTGAGAAAGAAGAGAAAATTTGAAGGATTCCGCATGGTTTCCTCGAAAAGTCAATTTTGATGAGCTAATGTTACTGCCTGTAAGGATAGGCAGCATATTCGGTTGACATCATTGATAACCTACATTTGAGAAGTCTTTTTATGCCTAAAGAGAATCCATGTTGTCTTTGTTGCAGAGAAATTTTTTATGAGCAAATCAAAAAAGGCCATTATTTGAGCCCTCCTTCGCGCGAGCAAGTATGCCGGCTTCCGGATATCTGGCCTTTCCTTGTTGTCACGAACGAAAAAAGCTGATTGACTTATGGTCACTGCTTGCTCTCGCTTCACTTTAACATATGCGATATCGGATACATCAGCCTTTATACATAGGTTGTTGTCGCTTTAGAATAAGTGAGTTACCTTCGAATTTTGAAAATATTTGAAAAGTAAGACATTTTTATGTAGGCGTAGAAGTGTGCATATGCTAGCCCACTGCACCCTAACTCAATGGAGAATTGATAATAATTTTGAACACTGCGGAAATCCATTTTATAGAAACTTTTTCTTGAGCATGACTGCATTTTGTCGACTCAACTTCGAGGCTTGAGACTCCATCACTGAGAAGTTGTTTCATCGAGATTTAGAAAAGGAAAGAGCAGGAAAATTGCTTAGATGATGTTAATAATACTGCAACAATTGCAAAACGCTAAGAGTATAGCTGCGTTGAAACAATGCAACTGAAAGTCGGACAGAACTTTCGGAACAACCTGAAATAGCATGATTGTACGCATTTATATAGACACTATTGTAAAATTTGAAGCATCTTCGAACCCTAACTTTTACAATGATAGTCCGCAGTTTTTACTCAAGCTGCTACGAGATGTAAATTCGCCATGCATCTTAGGGATTCCTTGGGGATGAGGAATGTAGTTGCTAGTATGAAAAAAATAGAATTTTTTTCCTCAACAGATATGATTTGCAAGCAAATATTGTTCAGGTCGTGAAATTTTACAAAACGGATTGCAGCGGCCCCTTAGGCCGCTTCGCTATTGGAAAGGCCTACTGTTCGGCATATACGGCTCTGCTCAACAAAGAGAAAGCAATAGTGCTGAGTTTCAGGTTACCCTGACATTTTCATAACATGTTCAATAACAATCCTTAAACGAATAACAAATACAACTTTATAGACGTAGTTTTTTGTGTCTAACGTCTGTTAGGCGCTGACTAGGGCCCGGCGGAAATCTTGGAGGCAGGCTGGAAATTATATTTTGTTTTCACCAAGCAATTTGGATACAAGATTTAAATAACCAGTTGCTTGTTTAGTGCAGTATGCGGGTTCACAAAAGTTTCTGATGTTGCTATCATGAACAATTCGCAGGCAAAAAATCTATCCTTGGACAGCAAAGATGATTTTCCTTGCTTTTTTAAGAGAAGAACTCGATCTATAATAGATACCACGTTCCGATCTACCTCTGTTTACAAGTGCGCCTCAACAACGGAAATAAGCTAAAATTCGTTTCAGTTTTTGTATTCTGGAGAACATATATTTTGTGTATGCGCTATGTGTCGAGAGAGAATTTGTAAAATTAAAATAGGAGAGGATAACTTTGTTCTCAAAAAGGGATGGTGCAGGGCACTAGTCTTGACATACCGCTTACTTGATTCGAAATACCTCTGATCTCTATCTCCTAAACACATAACGACGATAGCATCTGACATCAAATCCATTTGAAAAATATGATTATTTTTTCATTTTTTACAGGGGAACAGATAGTAGATTGCAGCTTGTCAAGGAGTTTTTCCATCCCCTCTTAGATGTAAGTCAAGCGTATCACAAAATGCTTGTATGAGCGAAAAAAGTTTTTTTTAGAAGAAATGGTTTGGTGATTCGTCGGTGAACACCTACTTCCTTAATGCTTTCCACAGCCTGTTTACCACGAGAACAAATGATTTAGACAGAAGTATGTTTGAAGATGTTCGAGATCTGATTCGTACACACTCGGGATATGACATTTGGGTACGCGCTTTAAGGAGAAACTTTCCTTATTATGTGAGTTCAGATAACTGGGCACTCACTGGGAGGTGCATTGGCATCTTTGGTGGCATCTTATTTGGTGGAGTCAGGAAATGCAGAAATGTCAAGAATAAAGTTAATGACGTTTGGCCAGCCCAGGACAGGCGACCAAAAATTTGCTGAAAGTGTCAATAAGATGGTATGACAACACGGTATACGATTACAAGCGAATTGTATGTCAAAAAATTTTGAAGCTTAAGCAGCATTTGTCCCCGCACATTATTCTATCCGCGGTCATTTGGAAATGAGGAGAAGGAAACAATTTTATAAGATTTAGCGCTTACGAACATTCTATTTAACACATGTAAAGAAAGAAGAGTAAGGAAGGGATTTGGGAAATAGCCTCACACGTTTTGAAATTCGAAAGTCTTTACAGTCTTTTTAATTTATTTCTTTTACTATGCAAAGCAAAAAAGCGAAACTATGCATGCTTAGACTTTCTTAGTATAGAGTCTTAAAACAAGCTCTAATTTGGGAGCTAATACTGTAACTGATTTTTACCCTTTGCAGAACTATGCATTCCGCGTCATCCATGACAATGATTTGGTACCTCAAGTCCCACCCAAAAAGTTCGGATACACCCACCATAAAAAGGAGGTGAGCATTGTAACACATTCCATTACGGTGCACTCTGTTTGTGAGAGTTTTCGGCCAATAATCTTGTTGGTGTCTGAAGACGAAACAAGTGGACTAAAAATGTCAAATTGAGTTACACAAAAAATTACTCGAGGAATTCTTGCGATTGGCGTGCCAATACGTACCAGATCAGCGACACAAATGAAGGTGCACAGTCGCAATTGCATTATTTTTTTCACCCGCCTGATAACACAATAAGCGATGCCTTAGTCACCAGTTTTGATCTTCAGCTCATCTTATCAAAAACACCAAGAGGGCTGAGAATAAACACAAAACAAATTAGCGATAAACTTGTTTTTTGCAGTTGTGTGTAGCGCATTAGTTGAGGGAGATACTAAGAGCAAAGGGATCCCCAACTCGTTGTTACTTATAGACATGTAACTTTCAAAAAACTCTTTTGTTTTCGAGAAAGTTCCTTTTGTTTGACCACACGGTAAGCTGCAATTTTTCTTCGTTCGCATGTATAGTTTAGGAAAGCACATCTGAATAAGGTGTGGTAATTTAGTTTGCTGCAAGACACGTAGAATATAAACGCGAAGAAAGTGTAGTGAATGTGCGATCGCAATCGAATCGTTCCTGGAGTGACCTATTATCTACTTCTGTATTGTTGGAACTTATATGGTGAAAGGAGACAAGGGATTTGACCACACAATCTAAAAATATTCTTACATCCCGCCACGCGCACCTTTAGAAGCAAATCTGCTTGCACGTGACAGGATATAAATGCAAATAAACAAATTTGCCTAAAAACAAAGCGCATTTGAAATGAAATAAATATGTTTGCTGTTAAAAAAGTTCCTTTTTTCGCTTAGGTTTGCCGCTCTTTGTTATGTTTTAGCCGCTCCTCGATAACTGAGCTATTAAATAGGAAGGTTTTCTAAAAAGCTGTTTTCACAGTGACTTCTACCACAACTACTGCTTACAAACTTATTCAGGTTTACTATGGGCAAACCATGGAAAACGGGATCTTCAAAGTGTGCAATAAAGGTACAAAATTATGATTTTTGTTTATCGAAAACAACAACACATCTTCCGATTACAGATGAATGCGGCGGTCAATTTATGCCAGACGCTGAAATTTTCGGAGACCAGAGAGTCCATAGGTGCTATTATGGAAAGCTCCTCAGCGAATGGGCAAAGGACGGATGTGACGAGACTAAAACATATAAAAAAGATTGCGATTTAAAACCGTAATTGCAAGTGATACATACCTTTGAAAAGAATACACATCCTTGCATCTATTTGTTCTACACTCTTCAGCATTTTAATTAACTTTAGATATATCATCAGAAAACGAGACTGTAGCTCGGCCTCGTCCAACATTGAGAGGACAACAGCATAAAATAAGAATGACAACCAAATCGCTCTGCATCCCTGATAACAAGCAAATAACCGAGGCAAGCTTGGTGTCCATTGTGCGTCAGGCATACACGTGCATTTCCAATTAAGTAGCCTCCTTTTGCTGCCAGTCTGCTTTCGCATTTCCATCATGAAGTCTACTATCATTCGGGTAGATTTTCCGCTCGATATAGTGCTTGCACAGCAAGAGAAACGAGGTAGAATTTGCGCATGAACAAATAGCCAGCCAGTAATGCCGGCATTTAGCGGGCGCAAATGACCTGCGTCACAGGGATAGCTACTTGTTTAGGCGCAGGCTTTACTCAATTTACCTGCAGTGCAAGCACACTATGGCCCGTAGTAAAGCTCGGTCACGGGAGACGATCTCCCCTGAGGCCCTCATATAAGGCTTTGTTGGGTGAGATGAAGACTGCCCACTTTCCGTGGTGTAAATATGCAAGGTCACCCTACAGGTGAGCTTCAGACGAAGCCCGGGGGAGATCAGCTCCCGACCGGAGTCATCAGAGATGAACCGGGCGACGACATAAGGTAAATACTGTGCTAAAGAGGAAAGCACAGAGAAAATCCCGTAAGTTGCTCCCGAGTAACATAGGAAAAATCGCAGATGACGTTCTTTTGCGGTGCAAAACTCCCAAAATTGCACAGTTTCCGGCGCCTAAGTGAGTGAGGATCGATCAACAGCTGATTGCGCGACGAAATAGGAAAAAAGTTTTTTTTTTCATTTTCTTGCAATTGTTGCTTGTTTTTTTCAAAGAAGCGCTTCAAATAACAAGAATGTGAATTTACATTTCTATTTATTTTTGCTAAGTGTATTTTTTCCTCGTATGTATGCCAAATAGTGTGTATTTGTTTTATCTTGTTGTTTGCTAGGTGAAATCTCTGATAGCGGCTATCATCGATTTTTCGATAGCAGCCGCTATCAAAGGTCGCCGAGCCAAGCAGCAAAAATGGTGCCGCTAGCCGCACTGCCCCGCCGCTTGCACATTAGTCTTATCCATTTGAATAATAATGCACAAATGGCAGAAACGTTCCACCTTTGAAAACGCGAATGTCCAGTAAGTGATCTGCTCCAAATCAATCGCTCCCCTGGCAAGTGCCGAGGCGCGATGAGATCAGCTCCGATCCGTTTTAAGAGAGATGCCCTGATGGGGGTTTACTACGGGCCTATATTAAAGGCAGTGGCTCGGCAAACCTCGGTCTGTGGTTCTCTCGCTTACCTGGGGTGACTCGACGCGCTGAATCCGAAATTTACCCTGAAGAGCGCAAAAATGGCAAAAACCGGCATTTCTCAAGGCTCTTCATTTTGAATCTGGACGAGCGGAACGCTCCTGCCACGGTTAAAGACGTCGAGTCGTTGAGCGACCCTCATGTTCATGGCATTGCGGCATGCCGCCTCTGACGATGTGAGAGATATCGCAATCGTCCGAACGCGTGTAAGAATGGCTTGCGTGCACGGGTTTAGGACCAATTTTTAGGCAGAGCTAGCATGCTGTGCGCTCGGACCTGCACCGTTCTCATGTTGAGGGTGCAAGCAACTTTTTATAAATTTCGAGATGTTTGGTTTTGCCGAGCCACTGCCTTTGAACAGAAAATCTACTCGACTTACTTGTATACAGCACTCCCGCAATTGGAGTGTTAGATTCACATTCTTGGTACATACCCTTTGCTTCAACCAAATTTGCGGCTGGAAGGCGGGGCTTCGTGACCTAGTCAAAGCTGGGAAATGATCAGAGTGAGCGCGCGCGAGAGAGACGCAGACTGCGTCGAGGGCGCGGGCGTCCTTGATTAGGTCAGAAAGCCTCACCCTGCCTATCCAGTTGAATCAGAGGTTACTGTTATTGCTATATTGAACGCAGTGCGAAGTTTTTCAAAGATTCAGGATTTAAGAGTCCATACTACGATAATGACAGCAAAAAACTTTGTTATTGCTTTCAGCAAGCATAAAGAAAATGAGAAGAGAACAGGAACGTAAAACAGCGGCAAAGACATCGCGAGGACTGATCTGTCCGCATCATATGAGCATTCGACGTAATTTACTTGAACCTATTTTTGCCAAAGTCTCCACGCACAACTCAAGATACAACTAACGAACATGTGTTAACAGTGCAACAACTTAATGTCGGTAGACCGGTGACCGGCGGCTTCCCTTCCCCTCTTTTTACCTGACATATATATAATAAAGATTCTGTCGTAAATGTTATGTTCATATGAAGTAAGACAATCAGGGTGAAGGACTCAAGTCAAGAGAGTGCATTTCTTGGACTTGACAATAGTCTAAAGCTGCAAAACCTCGGAAGTTTACTGATTTTTAACTATTTGTAAGACCACTTACCGTCCTAAACTGTGCGTGGAGACGATGTGTCTAGAAAACTGTTTAGTATGACATTTGCTTGATTATGAAAATTCCGATTGAAAAGAATCCATGTGGAGTTTGTCAAAGTTAATTATAATGGCACAAGGAAAGTGAACGTATGAAAGTATCCTATTTCAAATGCTGTTACCAATCTTCAAACACTGTTGACGCAAAGAAGATAATAAAGTTCACTGGATGAAGGAGTTTTTCAAATTGCAGGAAAAAGAATCAAAGTTTGAGCTCTACAGTTAGAGTCAGTAAACCCTTATAATGCTGCATCCATAAATACATTTGCGCCCAGAAAGTCATACTACTTCTGGGGTTCTTAACAAATTACAGCACAACTTTATTGTATAAAATGAAGAGAATGTGGCCAAATGACACCAAGCCATTACACGATTCTATCATTCTCATGGTTGGACGGTGAATAAGGACACAACGCGAACTCTTGGGTCCAATCTGGCAAGTTTGGCAACGTCTCGCTGGAGGATCCTAACCTCGAGAGATCGGGCTCTGCCTCGCGTTTACCCGCTCCATTCGAACGAAACTGAGTAATGATCAGAACTGGCCAATCCAAACAATCTGCAATGCTAACTCTAAACATGTTTTCCGTATCTGCTAAACTCCTTTGTAGGCGAAGTTATGAGCAGTTTTGTTGTGAGAAAATCGCACCAAAAATTGCGAGATTGAGCACATTACTGCCCCTTTAGCTCACCTTCAGTTATGAGCTATATGGAGTAGCTGCATGTTTTGCCCTAGCATTAAGGCGAACATGGTTCGTACCGCCAAATTGCACTTTGCACGCACAATTTCTTAGCGAAATAATGACCTTTACTGGCTTATAGCTTCTTCCACAAGAGTGCCTCCCTATAAGAAAACAATTCCAAAGTCAGCGCTTCATGCTGCATCTAACGATAAGCTCAGTCAGATTGGCTACTTAAGCTTCTGTCCAATTCTTTGTTGAGCGCTCTTGACTGACAGGAGCTTTTATGACGATCAACCGTTTTCAATCAGCACTCGGTGTTCGACAGACCGCTTAAGATCTATGCTAAATTTTTGGGGAAAAAGAGTTAGGAATGTGAAATGTGAAATAAAGCTTGGAAGCCCCGCCCGCTCAAGAAAGCGAACCTCGACTAAATATTACAGTCGATAGCCATCGTCATCTGCGCTATGAAAAGAAAAAGACTTTCAGTCAGAGTGGCCTCAAAATGAAACACTGATGATTGTCGGACCTCTCTTTAGGAAAAAATCTTGTTCGCTGTTCCAATCACATCATTATCCCATCTGCGAGCTGGAAGGGCTCTCACCACTTATTGATGACTATTTGTTTTGATTGAGCATTCAGTGCTCATAACTCCTAATTCGCAGGTCCCTTGCAGAAAAAGAAGACGGATTTGAAATCAGCATCTGATGCCCATTACATGCTACGTCACAATTGGAGGGGCCACTTCAACTAAGGATCGTTTCCCGGAGAGGGGTTAACTGTAATTATGTCAGTGGAGGAGCTGAAAATGAAGATACTGACAATGATCGCTATTCCATAAGCGTAGGGGCATTTACGCAAGTACGTAAATTTGAAAAGAGGCATGCCTTTATTGTAAATTCTGTATCTTTAGGTACTAAATTCATCCCAAGCATCGTCACCCGACTTGGAAAGCAGATTCGAGCTTGCGTTTGAAGGCGCACCTTATACAAGTCTTCCATTATGTCTGCGATGCGAAATCCTTCACTAGAAGGCATGATCTATGAGCACATAAAAAATCACATTTTATACAGTGGTGGACGCTACTCACTCTGAAAATCACGGCAACTTGCTTCTTCTTGATAAACCTGTCTGAGTTTTGCAATGTAGTGCGACGAGGGTTTTACGATGCGGCGTTCGCGCAATTGCCTCATGGCTTGCGCGCACCGGTGCAAAATGGGTGCGGACTACCGTATGCCAGCTCGGCGCGTGCCCCTTGAGGCGGCGAGCTTTGGCGGCGAGGGCCTTGTAGTACAACGCCACGCCGCCTACATTTCGGGCAGGGACGGGTGCACTAGTTTACTTTTCGTTGATGATCGATATATTGGGTTGGTTATTAATTAATGCACGTTTTTCCTACATCTTTTTTCAAACGCTAGTTTTCAATCAAAAAACGTTTTTCTCCAAAACCATCTGGATTATCGAAAGCTCGTTTCTTCTACTTTCAAACATAGACTTTCGTTTTCGGAGATCTTTGTTCAGACCGAAGTTCCGTGCCTTTAAATGTGACGAACTCAAACTTGAAAATTTTTCCTTTCATTCGACTTGCCGTAATTCCAAGAAAAATGCTCAAATTTGTTTCAAAAAATATGTGATAATAATCGCGAGGATTTGTGCTACAAAATGCACCAAAGCTAAATTTTTTAGAAATTCTGAGCCGAGAAGCTTTGACTCAAACTTAGCTAAACGCTGGGAACTCGGAGCTTTATAAAATGCTTACTTGAGAAGCAATTACAGAACTTTCACTTGGTTTTGGTAGAGTAGACCAAGGACTACTAATAGTAGGAAAACGGCAAAATTTTCTTGTTTTTGAAATAAGAAAAAATTGAAGGAATCCAAAAAATACAGATTTTTGCCTTCTCTAAAATGCAGGAGAAAATGGTAATTTTGCTTTCTTGGCAATATTTTTCCGCAGAAAAATTTTGGTAAAAGCCAAGTTCCACGCTACTACTGAACCGACCATCGGCTACTCAATGGGCAAAGTTTGCTCCAATTTAGTTCTTTTGAGAGTAAGTTATGCTCCTTTTAAACTGGGACTTTCCGGAAAAAACTTTCGGTAAATTTTGAGCCGTAAAATCTTTCCCGTCATGAATGCAATCAAGCAAAAGTATACGTTGTATAGCTAAAAGTCTGCTGTCTACAATAGTTTTTGTTGCGTTCAGAAAGATTGTTTTGAAAAGAATTATCTTTATTAGAAGTGGAAGTTGAGAAAACCTGCATTAATTATGAACCAATCTGACATTTCATCGTTTTCTTTGCACATTTTGAGCTACAAGACTCGAAGCTGGCGCAGAAGTTAGAGGTCGCAATAAAGTGGACTGTTCTCATTCTACTACTTACTCAGGTTATATTAGAGTTCTGATTTCAAATACGAAACTCACACTTCGCCGAACGTCGAATTTTGGACTTGCGCAATTCAGCTCTATCCTCTACACAGTGACTCTGTGTAAGATGCTACAGTGAAACGACTTTGATTTCGTAAAAAGTTGTCCACAAGACCTATACTAGCAAAGTTTTGAGTTAGACCAAGGTTCCCCATTTTTTACCAAGAAACTGCTTGAAGTGTGAAGCCAGGGAAAACACAAAAACGATTCTCTCGAAAATTTGCTCATAGATGTAATGTAGTCTAAAGTGGGCATGCTCCTAATCTGTACTATCCTTCCTTTCTTTGAGCATCATAGAACTTTCTTGAAATGCTTTCAAACTGAGGGCTTAGCCGCGGACAGGAAGGGGGTGAATGTGTTTTTATAAACGAGTAGTCTGGAAGGTGTTGAAAATGGAGATGCTAACACTTGCGGAGATTTCTGATAGAGATTATCCATCGGAAGCGAATACATCCGAAAGGAGAGAAATATTGAAGAAATTCAGAGAGATTGCTGGAGATTTGCTGCGGGAGTTGCCTGATCCGCAGATCACCAGTATTCTCGCAGTAGCGTCTCACCTTGAGGATATAGAATTACGGCAGGCACTGAACATGCATTTCCCAAAGTTTACTTGCCATTTTGGGTGTTTGTCAAGAGGCCGATCTTTATTGCCACATGAACATCAGATAGCCACTTCAGAGCCATTTCAGTGTTCAAGATGTTTTAAAAGCCTTTCAAATTCCCAAAAAGGCGTAGAGGGGGTTTGCATAAGCTATTCAACCTTACTATCTTAAAATAGATCTAAAACAAAAATGTTGGGACCATGTATGCAGCTCAAAGGCAGCGTTCCTGCAAAATGATGGGTACTTGGACTTTACAGCATTGCAACGGCAGATCCCCACCTAATCTATCAGTAAAGTGTGAAGCAAAAAAGCATATCTAGAAAACCTGTAATCCACTCCAAAAGCTTTCCGAGTCCCGCCCCTTCGTCCGGACCGCCCACGACGCAACTCGAAAAAAGCCCATTTGGCCATTTTCAGGCGCACCAGAAATGGGTAAGGCATGCGAGAAAGCTTCGAAAAGGTGAAGAATAGGAAATCAAATTTTTTCCGGGACATTGCTTTCAAAGGCAGCGACTCGGCGGAATGACATACTTCGGTTTATTCCATTCTCGGTTCTTCTGGATGAGCTAAGTCTTTAAAGCTGCAAAGCATAAACTGTGCTTTGCAGCTTCAAAAGGTATCCATAACCCGCTTTTCCAGACGTGAAAAGTGCTATTTGGGCGGACGGCGTATATATGCCCTCTAAAGCGCGATTGGCTCGTCTGTGGAGACACCGTAAACATCTCGGCGGCAATTGGATTATTGGCTCGACCAGCTACTTCGTGGCCCGCCCAAATAGCACTTTTCAGGTTTGGAAAAAACGGGTTATTGATAATCTGCCGAAGCTGCAAAGCACAGCCTTGGACTTAGCTCATCTAGGGGAGCCGAGAACGATAAATATCCCAAAGTTATCATTCTGCCGAGCCGCTGCCTTTAAGATAATCTCGTGGATATTCAAATCAATCAAGTTTGCGCACACATTGACTAATAACGTTGTAGGATGATTCTTCTTTAGCGAAAACAAATATGCATGTTTTGAAGCATTAACTATATTCATGGAGGCAAAAAAGTAAAAAAAAACATAGATTGACTATATTGAAAGGGTTGGTGCTTCATCCATAGAACAACTCAGGCTGGAATGAGGGAAAAAAGAACTTGCTTTGAAATTTCAGATCTACAAAGGCGTATTATTTAATATCAAAACGTATTTTGAAAACTAGCCAAATTTGTTCAAACAGATGTTCATTCATTAAAAGTTTCAGGATGTTTGGGTTAATTGCTACGCTTTCGTTTGTTGTGGTCGGAGCTCAGTCCCAAGACTCCTTTTCCCATGACTTCGCTCTCAAGAGAATGCTCCCTCTGGCTGCTGCAGCTTATTCAGACAATCCGGGTGAATGCGTCGGTCGCCTTGATGGAAATGTGAGACATGATTTTTCTTATGACAAAATTAGGGGATAACGCAAGTATGCACATATTAGGCTGGCCGAAAGTTCTTCCCCCATTTTCAAAAATTCATAACTTCCGATTTTTTCAACCAATTTGGCTGCGTTTATTTTTGTATAAAAAAGTAACTCATGCTCTTCATAATGACATTTTAGCTGCTTGCTAAAGATCATCTGTTGCATAGATAGGAGCGATAGAAATAAATTAGTCAAAACTTGAATTTTCTGTGTAGGCTCATAAAAAATCGGAAACTTGCAAGAAAGATCGGAGCAGTCAGTAGTGTAGGCCATTTTACCAGCTCTTTCTAATGGTGCAAAGTTTGCATTGATTGAGCGTCTCTATGAAAAGTTATGATTTTCGAGCAAGCAATACAAAAGGGCGAATTTGATTATTTTGGCATTTTTCAGGGAAATCATAACTTTTGATAGAAACGCTCAATCAATGCAAACTTTGCACCATTAAAAAAAGCTGGTAAAAGAACCTGCAATACTGACTGCTCCAATTTTTCTTGCAAGTTTCCGATTTTCTATGACCCTACACAGAAAATTCAAATTTTGACTGATTTTCCTCTATCGCTCCTATCTATGCAACAGATGACCATTAGCAAGCAACTAAAATGTCATTATGAAGAGCATGAGTTACTCTTTCATACAAAAATAGATGCAGCCAAATTGGTTGAAAAAATCAGAAGTTATGAATTTTTGAAAGTGGGGGGAAAGAACTTTCGGTTCAACCTAATATTTGCGTTTGTCACTTCAGATAGGAGTACTTTTCCTTTCGAAAAAAGTTGTGTATCTTTGACTTATCTTTGCCTTTCCTTGAAAGTAAGCATGTTTTTAGCTCTTAAAGATTGTCCCCATTTCACTTTAGAGACACAAGAAAATATGCGTAACGTATCCACAGCTGCGTAGACACATTTGGATATCATTCACATGAGTGCCATCAAAAATGGAACATGGCAGATGAGCGAAAGTGAAAATAACTCAAGAATGACTGCTAACATAGTCATGGCTAAACTAGGTTGTTCCCAAAGTTCTGCCTAATGTGCGGATTCTCCGATTTAAAATGCTATAACTTTTCCCAGTCAATATTTTTGATCAAATTAAATTTTGTTGGGTTAACCGAGTTTATGGCTATCATAAATATAATTTGCTATGTGAAAAAGACAATTGAGAAAGAAGAGAAAATTTGAAGGATTCCGCATGGTTTCCTCGAAAAGTCAATTTTGATGAGCTAATGTTACTGCCTGTAAGGATAGGCAGCATATTCGGTTGACATCATTGATAACCTACATTTGAGAAGTCTTTTTATGCCTAAAGAGAATCCATGTTGTCTTTGTTGCAGAGAAATTTTTTATGAGCAAATCAAAAAAGGCCATTATTTGAGCCCTCCTTCGCGCGAGCAAGTATGCCGGCTTCCGGATATCTGGCCTTTCCTTGTTGTCACGAACGAAAAAAGCTGATTGACTTATGGTCACTGCTTGCTCTCGCTTCACTTTAACATATGCGATATCGGATACATCAGCCTTTATACATAGGTTGTTGTCGCTTTAGAATAAGTGAGTTACCTTCGAATTTTGAAAA